CGCGCGTATTCAAAAACGAAGTAGCTAATGCAGCTTACAAAAGAGACTCGCCACTCGTTTATACCGGGCTGAGAGAGAGAGAGAGGGAGAGAGAGAGAGAGAGAGAGAGAGAGAGAGAGAGAGAGAGAGAGAGAGATAAAAAGCTCTTTAAATAAAATCTGTCGACTCAAACTGCATTAATTGGACAGAAACACACGATCCGATCGGTCAGTTGAAATTTCCTAAGGCGAGCTCTCCGCCGTTGCTCGCACATGTGAGAATCCACTCGGGAAGAACAGCGAGGAGCCGACGCAGCCGTGAAAGCGAGTCGTTGCACACTTTTAATGGCACGGCGTGATGTCGCCCCGTTTGCGTTCATGCGTCGCGTCCCAGACGGCATTCGACGCCCTCATTTTAATCTCAAGATCAAGCACATCCATTAATCTAAGACGCGCGACGTCCCCGTCCGCGCTGTCGCGAGAGAGCGGAAGGCAACGGCGTGTATCCAGAAAATCCGCAGCCAGACACCGTGCGAAACAACGCGCGCGCGTCGCCCAGTGAAATAATATCTGAGCCGAGATGTCGCGACCGTATCATATTAAAAATCGCTCCGTCGGAACGGCTTTCGCGCGAGCCGCTCGGCCAGATTTATTCGCCCCGGAATTAAAACGAATACGTTCGCGCCGCGCGTATCCAGCGCGACGCTAACGGGCCGTCGTGTGCAGGTGCAAGTCGCCCGTCGACGAGTGAACCCGCTGGAATTTTTGCTCGCAAGTCGACACATAGCTTAATATTCGCGCGAGAACGGATCGACGGGAATGACAAACGACATCGGCAACCGAGCGGGCCATCGCGCGTCGCATCGTTGGCGCAGTGCTCGGAATTGCGAATATTCAACGCGCGTATAGCTCTCGGTACATCCATCAAACGTCTACACGTGCGCGTCGCACGGGGGATGCGAGAGAAAGAGAGAGAGAGAGAGAGAGCGGCGCGCACGTGTCGAGTCCGGGCGAACGCATCGCGAGGATCCGCGGACGGATCGATGCGAATCCACGCGCGCCGCGCCGTGCCGCGTTGCGACGCCATGCCGGACCCGCGAAATGTATGAATATTCTGCGCGTGCATCGCTCTCTCAAACGCGACTCGAGCACGGTATATATTCCAAGAGCAAGCGCACGCCACCCTCTCGATCCTCTGAAATATCTCCAGACGAGAGTACTAATACAAAAACCGCGAGGTTATAACGGCTCGTAAACGAGATTAAAATATGTACAAACGACACGGCGGCGCGACAAATATCCGGTGTACATTTCGCGCGTTCGCTTTACGACGAGATGGAAAATCTATGATGAAGGTGTGTGTGTGTGTGTGTGTGTGTGTGCCCACGAGCCAGCTGAGTCGCTCTTTGATATTGGAATTATATATACTGTACAAATATACGATATAATCTTGCCTTGGATAACCTGTACACGCAGCGCCGATCATGGGCGTTCACCGTGACGCGAGTTTAATGACACGAGTAAAAATGTCGATTTAGGTAGGTGTCTCGCGACTAACCGACTCTGCACGTCCCGCGCGTTTTTATATGCGCGGGGGCGTCCTCGAGGGGGGCAACAATTCCCAATCATATTTTCAATCTCCCCCCTGTCTCCCTCGATTCCTCCGATTTAAAAAGATGAATATCGGTGAAACGAGATCACAGGTCATTACTGCCTGGCTAAAACGAACGAACTGGGTACGAAGATCGTAACAAGTGGCGGAGCAATTTACTGGCAGTAGTAACAGAGTACATAGTAACAGTAGTAGGAAGAGCAGTAGCGGCGGTGTGGGGGTGGTGGCGGTGTGTCGGTCGGTGGTAGTGGTAGTAGGAAAGCTTATGCACTTGCACTTGCCCGTTCCCGATTATGCGATAGAGCGCGCGTTTTCAAAACATGCTCTCTGTTGACCCCGCTCGTCGATAGTGGCTCGCTCGTTCGCTGTTCATCCGAATTCTCACGAGTCTTGCGGCCGTGTTAATATTCCCGGAGTGCGTATCGATACCTATTCAAACGCGAGAGAGGCACACCGGCCGCGACGCGCAGGCCGCGCGCGCGGCGGAGCTCGCTCGGAAATTACGAGCGGGTATCGGGTTCGAGGACCATCGCTAGGCTAGGCCGAGCTTAGCTAGATAGGCTAGATAGGCGCCGGGCCGAGCTGTAGCGCGCGCCCGCGCGTTCCCGCGCTCGCGCGTGTGTCCAGTGTGCGCCGCAATTACTTAATTGCTCGTATCTGATTGGGCCCGCCGCGGGGGAGGGATAACGGTGTCCTCGGTTCGTGATTTGCGCGCCGCGCGTGCAACGCGCTTCCATTGGCCGGGTTACCTGGCAGGCCGACGAATCAGCCATTCATTTCTGAAACCCCGCGCCACCGGCGCTAGTAACCCCCGAGAGAGTAACGAAGAAAGGGATGCGGTGCGCGCGCGCGCGCGCGAGACAGAGAGCGACGAGTATCGAAGTTTCGAATGCGCCCGACATCGATAGCCGCCGTCACCGCCACCGCCGTCGAGCTGCGGCAACGCCACGCGTCCTCGCGACAGTACGAGGCTGACGCGCTCGCGTGTCGCAGAAATCTGGCGACGAGACGAGGACGGAGGGAGAGGGAGAGGGAGAGGGAGCAGGAGGAGAAGAGGGAATAGTGAAAGATAAAAGAGGAAATAGGGCGAAGGGAAGAGAGAGAGAGAGAGGGAGAGAGAGAGAGAGAGAGGGAGAGAGAGAGAGAGAGATCCATCGTTATCGTAACGAGGCAGAACGCGCCGTGACAAATGCCAAATAACAGATAAAAAAAATAACGAGAGATAGAGCGAGAAGGAAGGAGGGAAAGACGACGGAGGGCGAGGGGGGAAAAAAGGAAGAATCGAAGCGCCAGTCGCGGTGGTGGCCGGTAGCGACAGTGGGGCACGCTCTCTCGCGGTAGCTGCACCAAGCGTTAGTGTCAATATGGCCGTTGACGTGAGCGCAGTACGTGCAGAGACGCGGACGCGATAGTCTCGGTTCGATCCCCTTAACATGAGGTATACTGACGACCGGGAGGGACGCTTTTACGTAATACCCGTATAACGCACGCCCGGCACGTACCCGCAAAATGAACTGCGCCGCGCCGGAGGCGGCTGCCGCGAGCGGCGAACAGATCGGTGCGGTACAAGGTACGTGGTGCAACTTCTCCGTCGCTCGAGCGAACGAACGTCGGTGGTTATTCTTCGCATCTCTCCGCGGACCGTGGACCGAGATCTCGAGCAAGGACGTCATCAGCGTCATCGTCGTCGTTGTCGCCGACATCGTCATCGTCGTAATCGTCGTCGTCGTCGTCATCGTCGCCGTCGCCGTCGCCGTCGTATTTATGAGCGCGTCTCACGCGACACCCACGCAAGACTTCGCGCGCGGTTAGCTCGGCCGCGATCGATTCGCCGTATCGCGATTTTATCGTCGTTGTCATTCAACTATCGCAAAGCTCGCCGTGATCGCGGCGAGCTTTGCTCCGACGCGTTCTCTGCAACGCGCGAGCCGCGTGGCCTGCGTCCGTCTCGCTCGCGCTCACTCGCGGGCATGTGTCGCGCTCGCTCGCTCGCTCGCTCGTTCGCTCGCTCGCTCACTCGTGACCGTCGTGCAAGCTGCGCCGACGAACATTCGCTCGTCTGCGTATCGTCTCCGTCGTTTTCTGCATGCGACGGAAATCCAGGGGAATCGGTGCTGCTGATGAGGCGAGTGCTCGACGACGGCGACGGTGACGGCGATAAGGTGACTCTCGAGTGTCGCGATGGAAGTGTGTGATTCACACGATGCGTCGACTGCGCGAACGAGCCTTTGTTCCTCTCGGGCGAAAATGAAAAGGGAAAATGCTCCCGTGTGCACGCACCACGGAATCTCGCGTGCTGTTTCTATGAGCGAACGACTGCACCTCCTGCTCTTCGCCTTGGAAGTTCATCATGTGCACGTTGTGTTTCCCTGCTCTCCCTTTTCCCACACGTTTTCCCGGAGGTTAATTACGACGGAGGGTTCATGAACACGCGCACACGTGCGCGCGCGTTTCCGTGAATGTTCCACGAATTCGCTCGGTCGCTCCACGTCTCTCCGAGACAATCGATACGTCCTCGGGATTTTTAGTATCGGTGTGTCTCCGCTCTCCGCGACGAGATACCTCTCTTTTATCGCTTTTCGTGCCCGCGTCTCGTCCGAATCGTCACGAAGCGCCGATATTAGCGCGTTTTTGACTCAGAAATCTCCGCTTTCCGTGCCATCCTCGAAAATTAATTCGTCTCGCTCTAGCTCCGAGAGCATGTTCGGGGACTCGTTTGTCTCGTTTTGAGACTAGTGCTCGCGCACACACACACACACACACACACACACACATATATATATATATATATATACACACACACGTGAACGCGCAGTGAAACGGCTCCGGGCAACGTGGTATTCAGCTGTGAACGTTACAGAAATATACAACCGTCTTTTGGGGACACTCCGGTAGCCTGCACTGGTCTCTCGGCACCTGTCGCGGCAGATGTTAAGAATGGTCAGGGTTGTAAGAAAGCGACAATTCTAGAAGAGCCCAATTCTCAAAACTTGCTCGAGTCACGTATGTGCGCGAGCGATTAACGACTCGCCCTCGTCGAACGCTCTTTCTTCAATCGGTGCCGACGAGTTGCGTTCTATGGGATTCCATGTAAATCCGATCCGATTTAACGACACGCTACCGTCGGCGCGGAAAATATTCAACATTCCATTTCGCGCCTGTGGAACCGGTTTGGGCATATTTTCCGCAATCGCTCTAACATGACATGAAATTTCTGTTTGCGATCAAGACATTCTACCATTCTAATGAGTGAAAAGTCTCTCGACGCGCGGCGGTCACACGCACGCACGTGCATAGATTCGCGCGATATTTTTGCGTTGAAAATTTTCGTACATCGTGCCGTTCCTCCGCTTCAGTGCGCTGAAGACTGGGATGTATTAAAAATTTTGCAAACCTTGATTGATGTTTAGATATCAAAAACACAATGTTTAACAATGAAGGAGGGTCTAAACTAAGCAGTGACGAAGCAAAATCAACAATTATCGAATTATTTCCCTGGGTCTCAGAATTTAAGAAAATGTGCAAATGTATATACGCAGACAAAAGTATGGCTTCTTTGGCAGAGCTTATGCAGTACTATATCAGGTAATCTACATTCAGTATTTCCTGTAATACTTTATATACGCGGCTCTCTCCACCAGTATTACCACTCTGAGCACTGGTGTTATTGCATGATACAACTATATGTTACAATGCAGATTTTATGTGTAGCGATAATCGATTTCTTTGTTTAAAAATAATTAAATGTTGGGTCAAATTGTTCGCATTACTAAAGCCACCTCCGTGAGTTTGACCTTGGCGTAAGGTTTTATCCCTGAGTAACATTCCAAAGGTTTTATGCGCGTCGCGTCGTTGTTTATTAAAAAAGTTACTGACGAAAGTTTGAAGAACACGGCAACTGTAGCACCAAAGGCCATATTTTATATTTTGTAGAAACAGTACACGTGAGCAGAATGGAAACAAAGCTCTCTCCCTCCATTACGAAGATCTAACCTAACTCTATCTATATTAAATTTACGTATTCATTGTCAATAGAATATGTACGGATGTGTATAAAAGATACAGAAAACTACAAGAAATATATACGTTTTGTTGTTCAATTCTTTATGAAAGATAAATTTGTGACTTTGTACAAAATGAATCTAGTCTATTGGGTTAGGTTAAATCAGATGGTAAAGCCTTTCATCCTACTTAGACGGAACTAATTTTACATGAGAAATATAGCTTTTGGTACTAAAATTAACTATCATGTTCTTCAAACTTATTTTTTAAAAAAACTTTAATAAACAATGAACGACACGTATAAAACTTTTTGAATGTTATTCAAGGATAAGACCTTGACAACATGTCAAGGTCAAACTCATCGGAGGTGACTTCGAATGTGAATATTTACCGAATATTGTTTTGAAAAATGTTAAAATTAGAATTATTGAATAGATTTTGTCAATCTCCTAATCACAACTTATTCATTTTAGCAGTATTTGTTGCCATTATATTAACATTGGTCAAAATATCAGTATAGAGCTCAAAATATACTTCTTTCGAATAAGCAAAATTTTTCTCAAGGACAGAAGTTATTTTTACAAATAATTGCATATATCATATAACGTGATTTAAAAGAAAAATATACATATATATATATATATATATTTATAAGAATCGTATTTTGCACCAGTTATTTAGTAATTTACAATATTTAGAGAAGAGGAAATAATCACATTTCCAAATTCTGAATGAATCCTTAAGTTGTGTCCACAATCAAACAATTAATAATTATATTTCAATTACGAAATATAATTTAACAATTATTGCGATGTATTATTGCAAATAAAGTTAACAGATTTCTCCTTGTAACATATTATTTCTAATAAGTCTTATTTTCAATAGTTTACTGTTGCTTTGCTCCTGTTAACCTGAACAGCTTTAGCTATTATGCATTACACACTCACACAACTTCCTCTATACCGTATCATTATTGAACTGATCTTGAGGGTCATCCTGCTGCTGCATTGACCCTCTCAATTGGTTAATCAGATTGTAACAGTCTGAAGGTCAAAAAAATATTGTCTTATTTGTGACAAGGCAACATTGAAATTGTTAGAAAAGGATTATATTTAACCACATATATATGCTTTAAATCAGTGTAATTATTAAGTGAAATAACACAAATTTAACAAATCATTGAAAGACTTCATCCCATTAATACATTCCTCTTTACAGAAAATTTCATCAGATTCTTGCATAGATTCTTATATCATGAAACTTATATCCATTTGAAACATTACAAATTGTATACTTATTGGCTTTATACCATTCTTCGTTATACTTTATATCGACTCTGTTTATACGAATGTCTGAAATACATTTATTTCTCACTTTCTGTACAGCTAGATTACAATTACTACATATATATCTCAGTGCACTGTGTACTTCAATTTCTTATCTTTTTTTATTACAGAAATGTAAGTGTCAGTGTAAATGAATGTTATACAAAGCCATTAAGAGCAGCAAAGTTGAAGGATTCTATTAGTGAAACCTTACTTTTGTTCTTATATATCTACCGTGAGCTTTCTGAGGTAGGTTCAGTATAACCCATTATACTACGTTTATATAATCTTCTTTCTTTCTGTATTTTATTGCACACGTTTCCACTTTTCACGGTAATTTGGCTACTCATTCGAGCAAATAAATTTTTTTCCAGGACCGCAATAGATCAATTTATTTAAACAACATGTCCGATTTATTAGCAATGTACATAGATATGGAATTAAAAGCATCAAGAAAAAGTAAAGAAGATCATAATAGAATTTGTACAAGACTTACTTCTTGTCTTTATGTATATTTAGGTATGTATCGCGCAGATATTATTTATGTAATTGTATTATGTAATGTATTGTTGGTATGTAACAATATCGATAATAATAAATCCTTCCTTTCAGAACATTCCACAGAGCATTTGTTAGATACTTTGATAAAAACACAATTTATGTGCCGGGGTTATCATCGTATTTTAGATCCGATAATAACGTAAGTATATAGACTGCTGATATCACATGAAACTTGAAAGCACGTTAATATTTGGTTGTATCATTTCTTGATTTAATATTTAGTATTTTACTGTTCTAAATTGAAAGATTGATTATGTTTATATATTATACTAGATAAAATATTTTACACTGTCTTATATCATTTTTAAGCGTTTTATCCCTGCACTCTGTACAACTCCATGCGAAAAGATTTTGGTTTGTTACTTCGAAGTTGATATCAAGTGCGATATATTTCTAGCGAATTGTTTTTATATAATTTTATAATGTACATGTGTATGCGTTAAAATTCCTTGTATTGTTATACGTGTTTCTTTTATTTCGTTTCAGAAAAGTAATTAAAAATATTCCAGCGCATCCCGAATCCAATTTTATGTACGTTCGTTATCTTCTTATTTATTGTCTTTGGAGAAAGGTAAATAGCGATATGGCCGTGAAAAGTCAAATTACCACAACCGCAATTGCCTCACTGGGAGCACCACCAACTACTTTCCCACCGTGCGTGTTAGAAGATGTATTACCAAAAGTGCCAAAGTGTCAACCAAACTCAGCAAAATATCTAATGCAGCAGAAATTCGACGTAAGAAAATGTTGCGAATTATTTGTACAGTGCTGCAAAGAAAGCAGAGGAAGTATGTGTCAGGAAAAAAATGAAAATGCAGCTATTACTCCAAGCTCATCCAAGAGGATCACTTCACAACTGGTACAACTATTGTTATTACTTGCATGTTTTTGTCAATACGTTTCTTTACATATATAATTTTGGAAAATGATTTTTTTATTACGTCGAGCGTAGAGATAAATAGAATTTTATTTAACTTGCAACATATTGCGATAATACGAGATAATACATTTTACGGGACAACAAAGCATTTCCATTGAAATATTAACTTTATGCGAATTATTTGTCTATATATTATTTTATCGTGTCTCATTGTCTTTTGTTGTAATAATTAACAATTTTCTTTTTTCATAGAATGTATAAAATAACAGTCAAAAGTAAAAAGAAAAGATATTGCTTGTTATGTTATAAATGAAATTTCATTCGTTCCAATCTCGAAAAGATTCGCATAAAGGTAATTGCAGTTGAATAAGGAGAAAAAAATAATGAAGTTGTGTATATTCCTAGTTGGTAGTTACATCACGCGAAGACGAAAATTTCGGTCGTATCGAAAACAATTTTAATGTTGTTCCCTCAGACAAAAGTGTGCAAAATACCTCTGTTTCTTCAGATAATTTAAAACCGACAAATCTAATAACAGAACAGACAAACGTTAAACCTTTAGGCACAATTTCCACAAATATCTCAGTAACACGGACTATTTCTAAACCGATTAAACCGAAAGTTCTTCCTCGGAAGAAAGCTAAAAAATCTAATAAAATTGTAATAATCGATCTTACAACTGACATCGCTTTTGAGAGATGTATAAAGAAAAGAAAGTCCAGAAAAGTCGCATGGCTAGAGGAAGCTAAGAAGAAACTCGATGCAAAGACGATCAGAGCATCGCAGAAGATCAAGAAACAACAGATGGCGGGGAATGTGAACTCCGTGAAGAAGGTGACTCTCGGTCAGCAGTTGGAAGATTTGCTTCAATCTGTACACGCCACAGAAAATACATGCTTGAAGAATGATTCGGGTACATCCATACAAGAGACAAGATTGGATAGCGATAGAGTAAAACATTTGGAAGTAGAAGAGAGGAGGACATCATTTAATGATAATAACGCAGAATCGGAGAAACAATCGGTGATGCGGGACAGCAGTGACGAAAACGAGAATGTTGGAACGCCCTGTACAGTCTCTTCTTCTGTAATCGTTGGTAGACCACAGTCTAATAAATCTAAAGTTTCTACAAATTCATTATTGGATGTTTCAAGTGGCACTGATAACGTTAGCAAGTGTCACGATGTTAACGCTATTTCGAAGGTAAAGACAGATGAGAAAATAAACGATAGATTTAATATACAGACTGTGATTAAACGACTGATAGAAAAAGACACTACGAAAAAGCCTGAAAGTGAAACATGTAAAAGAGTTGAAAGTTTACGGAAAATCTGTGATTTAGGAACGGAGCACTCTAAAACTGTAAATAGTCCTCTCGCGTTATGTGCCCAAGGTGATTCCAAAGATGAAGATGATAGTTGTAATCGTAACGCTAACTATCCTAGTATAGCTAAAGATAAATTATCGCCGCATGTAATTTCGTCACTGGTACATACGCATCACAGGAATAACGAGAAGGACGAAGCAAGTGACTCGGATGGAAAAATGCAGCAGGATATCAGCGGCGACGACAGATGTGCGACGCAGAAGGTTACTACTCGTGAGACGACGAACGATGAGACGCAATGTTTGAGACCGAGCAGAATCGACGGCGGATCAGGCAAGGGAGAAGAATGTGCGGTTTCCGCGACGGCGGCTGAGACTCGTTTCGTAACAACCGTAAGTAGTGCGGAAATGCTAATAAGTAAGGCGGTAGAATCCGAGGAGCTGCGACAAGCACGCGTTACTGCTGAAAATACAAAGCAACCAAAGGAGCCTGAATCTCAAGATAAATGTGTATTAGCGGGACACGATGTTGCGAATAATACCGTAAGACTTAGCGTAATGAATGGAGACCATTCTAATGTACAAACAGATTTAGAAGTTGGTATTTGCATCGAGGTAAGCGACGACATAAGGGATAACAAATCCTCTAACCGTAAAACCAGAGAAACTATTTTTGAAAACCGCGCGACCGATAAGAAGAATATTTCTAATATCGTCAACTTGTCACTGTGTTCAAAGAAGGATGGAGTCAATGGCGACAAAAGTACCGAGCTGAAGGCAAATCGGAAGGAGAGCGCGGAGATCGATTCCAACGGGAGTCGCGGCGAAGAGCGTACCGCGAAGAATCCAGTGAGAACATCCGTACTATGCACGAAGCTTGGGAAGAATCTTCGCGACTTCGACCAGTCGCGCAACAATCGCAAATTAACGAAGGAAACGTACGGCAAGTCGTGCAAGATATCATCATCACACGCGAAGAATGCGCGAGATTCATCGGACAATCGATGCATCATTCAGGATACGGAATTGCAGGACAACATAGACGGGCTTTCGTTATTGGCCAGTGTGTCGCAGCACGTGTCTCATTTGAAAACCGAGCGTGAGCTAAAATGCGATCAAATCAAAGTCAAGGATTACGCGTCGTTGAGGAGCTCCCCTTACAGTCAATCCACCGACGACGACGCCGACACCAACGACTCGTCGAACACGGTTTCGCGGATTCTGGAGAATCCATCCACCGAGGTCATCAACAGAATAGTCGGGATTTATCCGGAGGACGCGTTGGACAAGGTAGCGCTTCACGTGGAGGTCACATCGACGACCGACCTGAGCCCCGCCGACGACTGCGAGAACGATCCGAGCAATAGCAGCGTGTCGCGTGTCGTCGAGACTGCCATCAACTACGAGACCACGGACGCGTTGTCCAACAACCTGAGTATAGCGGAGAGCAATGTGCAGTCGATCAAGGAGAATACAAACGTCATATTAAACGGAGAAACGGTCGTGCTATTGAAGAAGTCTCCCAACAGCAATCTGTACACCATCAATAAGGCGTACGACGAGAGTCGTCTGATGAAAGATAAGAGCTGGATGGTCCCGCCGGAGGATTGCGCATCGTTCGAGGTCGTTAACACATCGGAGCACATTTCGTTCAATTTGGATCTGCCCCAATACAAGGACTTGGCGCTATCGTGCCAAGAGAATAAGTTCGCCGTCGGGAGGAACAAAGGCATAAAGATCGAGCCGGAGGAGGAAGGCAGCCTGATGAGTATCGCGGAGATGAAGCCTTACGGTAAGAAGGGTCCTCTGTCGGGCGACGTGTTACCCGCGACCGCGCCGCAGATTTATCAGGATACGAATGTCGCGAGCGTGAGCGTCAGCAAGTCGGTCGACAAACGCAAGTCCAAGTCCATCCTCGCTTACAGGCAGAATATCAAGCAAGAGTTCAACAGCCACATCACGCCGAACTGCGGTATACAGGGCTGCAACGGGATACACTCGCATCCGCACGAAGTGATCGATCCGCAACATTCGTTACATATCCCGGTCAGCCATCCCACGACGATACCGTCGATTTACGGTAACTGCGCCGCCGGCACCGACCTGTGTATGCCGTATCACAAGCACTGCACCTCCGTGTCGTGTAGTTTACAAATTAATTCTACTACTTCGCTCCATTCCCACACGAAATCCGCCAATTCGTGCGGCAGGTCGCATCAGTGCTCGTGCCTCAATTGCACGTACGACATAGTCACCCATTGTAGACAGTGTATACATCCCGCCACGGACTCTCACGTGTCTTGTATCGAAAGTAATTCTTATTTTTTGCCCGCGCACTCGTCAGTACAAACGTCCGCCGTCCAAGAACACGATAGGACAAAAAGCGAAGCGGTAATAGGTAAATTGTATGACGATCAGATATTATGTAAGATAGAGCAGAGAGTACTGCAGAATAATACTCTGGAGAAGCTGGACGTGCAACGCGAGCCGGAGAAGTTATTCAAGAAGGACATGGAGAACAAGCTGCCGTTGAAGAAGAGATTGAAGGCCATGATGTCCATGGCGTATGAGAAGGTGCCCATCAAAGCGGAGAAGATGGATAACTATCCTGGAATACCCATGATGTCCATAGCCGCCTTGGAAGCGCTCGACGGCACGCAGAAGCATCCCTCGCAGATCATCAAGTCGACGTACGAACTATCTCCTAACGAAGAGGATGGTCCGCATGGCAGCTATCATTTCAATTCGAACGGAGAGATAGTACGGAGAGATTACTATAAGGATATGCACATCTCTAATGCACATCATAATCTTACGAAGGAAAGTACAAGGAGCCACGAGCGCCAGTTTCGGTCGGCCGGTGATCAGTCTAATGCAGTGTGCCTAGAGACTTGTCAGGACAGGATGTTTAAGACACCCACGCAGCGCAGAGACGTGACGGTGATGAATCCAACGTCCATGAAGCGTATAACGACTGAGACGATGGAGCAGGAGGAGCAGGACGGCGCGTGCAAGAAGCCGAAAAAAACGCAGTCATCCATTAGACAAACGAGAAGCTCAAAGAGAAACGTTCCTAAGGTAAATTATTGTTACACCGATGTCGATCCAGAATGGAATCCGTCCGGTGAGTCAAAACGAAGACGTAAGAAGACTAGTCGATGATCGATACTATTTCATTACGAGAAGTCACTGCTGTAAAAAGAACGAAGGGAAAGAAAAGATGGAAAAAAAGAAAAAGAAACGAGAGAACGAAAAGAAAGCGAACGTATAAAATCTGTACAGCGGGCAAATGTGTTCTTCGAAGTTGCGGCACTGTATATCTGTGTAAATATGTGTACAAAGCGCAAGTGAAAATAACTCGTCCTAGGAAGATCTAGAAATAGACCGTTCAGCGTGTTCAACATTATCGTCGGTGAAGAGTTAGACTAGCTACATAGAATACCTCTGCATAAAATATTTTTGATGTTTGGTTAGATATCGCTAGAGGCAAGCCGTAGAGAATTTTATTCCGTTAAATATCATCTCTACCTTGCGAAACTGTACATTAATAATCTATAAGGCTTTGTAAGATATTAAATTTAAAACTTTAATGTTTTTCCTATTGTCACGTGGTTGCAACAACGTCCAAATGACGTCGCGAACGATCATTTTCCTCTGAACAAGTTCTTTTGGATTCTTGTAAAGTATGATGAAAAAAATTTCTATATAATTCTCCGCGTATAAATATGTATATATGTATGTACATACATAACCAATGCCAAACAAACTTACGGAAACGTATTTTGAAGTGATATCATTTTTGAGGTAAGGTTGCTTCGGCTTTTATACTAAAATAATTCCTAACTTTTATACTAAAATAATTTATTATTTCGTTTACCGAAACAAAAGAGAATGATAAAACCTGTCAGAGAAATACACGTAAAGATATGACACATGAGTTTCTATCCTTAAAATCGCGTGATCATTTATCATGTGTTTGAGTTTTTAGTGATAGAGGTGCACCACAAACATTAGTACGATATCATTTTATATTGCCTGAAAATATATCTTTTACAGTTTCCTGAGGAAGACAAATTTAGATTCAGGAACGTAATACGACCAGGTTGACGATTGAAAGTTAAGAATGTATAAAAATCCAAAATTCAAACCCCTCGAAGAACAGGATGCACAATGTATCAGGAGCATGTTTGCATAGGTAATTTCATAAAATAATTACATATACATAGACTTGTGCGATAAATACCTGGCAACAAGACTTAGACACTAGATATTCCGTAGTTACGGTATTATACTTGATTGTGCGATGTTAGAGTCTCTTTTTTGATTTCATAGAGATATACGCGCAAAGACACATTTCACAATTTTACAGCACATGTCTTTTATTTCAGATTAATTACCCACTTATACTTGAGTAACTTTGGGCAAGTGTTTAATGCGAGCACATAATGTCAATAAATTCGCCAAATGGTGCAAAATTGTTTGTATTGCCGTACAATTATAGAAACTGGAAATGTTTAATTTCTTCCACTTTGTAATCTGTCCTCTTATTATATATAGAGACGCAGCCCTATATATTATATATCGAAAAAAAAACTATTATTTAATGTAAACTTACATACATACAGGTACCTATCAAAACAAGTAGAGTAGCTAGTCAGCCGATTCGTAATAACAAAACAACTTCAGGTTCACTTCTCGGTGAAAAAAAAAAGGAGAGATAGTATGCTACGTAATTGAAAGTATCCCATATATTTTTCTTGTAATACGAGTATCCATCTTTTGTTAAAGAAATACGAAATTCGCGAGGGCGCGGTATTCTAAAACTAAAAATGACCTAATCGAGCTTGATAAATAAAATGAAAATACTGAGGCATGCAAGGAAAAAATGCACAATTTAGATATCGTATAGTTACCAAGATAGAAAAGCTTTACAACTAGCAGGCATCGTATAGCTTGTTCCTACGTAATTACTCAGTATTTCAGTTCATACGATATGTCTGGAAACTTGCTTTAAGAACTGATTGACATTAATATACGGCATTTAATTAAATTATATTGAAAATTTCAACGTCTCTCTCTCTCTCTTTCTCTCTCTCTCTCTCTCTTTCTCTCTCTCTCTCTCGCGATTGTGCGAGTTAATTTTCTTTTTCTTTTTCCAGATCAGACGATATATAATTTTTTAAATGCTGTATATTACACCATATACATATGGTCTTCTCATGGAAACATTGCTCACGCTTATTGAATTGTATTGAACTTATATCCTATGTTAATGGTTTTCAGAGCATCTATTACTATTAAATACTCTGTTTTTGTTATAACGTGTATCTGATCTGAAAAAATTAAGTCATATGCAGTCCCTCTGTGTTAAACCTGAACCAGTCAGCATCATTATTATTCTTGTACGAGTGTCCCGATTACATGTTTGATTATTTCAAGATAGATTTGGTTCGAGTAATGCATAACTTCAGTGCCATATCCCTATACCTGATCTCATATCTGTGATCATTAGCTAAGCAGTAGCTAACATTTTGTTGTACAAAAAGGAAATGTACCTTGTTAAGTAGTCTACTCGATAGATTACTTGTCATTGTCACACTTGTCATTGTTATACACTTTATTCGCCTTCGTATGAAACTGATTGTAGTTAGAAAATTTTTAATTGTAGAACGCTCTATACCTCTTACGTTTTTACCGCATCGTTATTCTCTTATTTTCGAGAATCTTAAACCCGCTATTATATTTCCCAAACTTGACTGACAAAGACGCGTGAAAATGTCCTTTTCATTACTGAATGTGTGTTTCTTATTGTTACTATTTATTTATTAATTTACAATGCGATAAGTCTGATAGGCTTAAGTTTAACACAAATAAATTTATTAAGTTACTATATAGCTATATAAATAATTAGTTCATCAAAATTGCCAAAAGTCTTCATACATATGGATTGAATATAAATAGACCATTACTCATAAATAAAAATTATTGTAACGCATGAAGCATTTATTAAGGAAAGTCTAACATCTTAAACATTAATCGAGTTAATATAGTAAAATATTTTACATCAGATGCCTCATTAATTCGTGTTCATCAAAAATTCAGTATTGTGTATGCGTAGAACATCTTTTTCGTAATGATAAATAAACCTGTATTTACCTATATATTTGTACATTATGTGCATTACATAAAATGTCGACTGCATAAGATCGAGGTAAATATACTGCATGTGAAAATACTAATATATTTACCTCTGTTATATACTCATCGGAACTATATTAGATTCACCGCTATACCTATGAAATAAGGATAGAAATATTAGAGAAACTCTCAACAGGGTAAACATTAATATGCTTTTGATGCTTGCACAGCATCGGGTTCATTATATTTTACATAAATATGTATACTTACTAATTAAAAAATAGAATATAGTATACCTCTGAACAGGGTAAAAGCGAAAAATACTCCGCCGGCTTATGTCCATTAGAGTACACGTAATGATAGATACTTCCCTTCATTAAAGACATCACTCTTTATAGGGCTCACTATATAAAGAACTATAATTTCTCTCTCCATTTTTAGTAAAGCGCATGTTTATCACACTAACAAACATCACATTCGTCCGAGACTTGTAAATATATTTTTGTGTATACGTTAATCGCGCGCGCGCACACACATACACACACACACACACACACACATATATATATGATTGACCGCGCTGTCATACTGCGGTTATTTTTTTCGAAAGATTGCATACAAGTACAATTATTCAAATTTCAAACAAATGTCCGCTATCGGTTTGGATACACGTATGTTCTACGTTCTGCAACAGATAATGAACGAGTGTATCTGCCAACTAAATATACATAGTGAAGGAAAATTGTATCGAACGCTTTAAAAGTGGTAGTGGTAATTTAATGATCTATATATACATATAAATATCAAATTTTCTGCATTTTAACGAGAGTAGCGCACTTTGTTTTACATGAGCTCACAGAGCTAAACTCCGAGTTCTTGATTTTGTACAACTGCGCGTAATAAACGAATAACTCGAATATATTAAAAATTGAACTTTTATTCTCTTTTTCAGTCTCTGCATTGTTGTACATCGTGGATTAACTTATGATAATACAATATTTTTACACGCAAAACGCAACCAATATTGTGTAAAAATTGATCGATAATATATCGCAGATCTACAATTGTTGAACTTACATATGAGGATTTATGAACAACTTCACGTGAAAGATATTAGTATTTTGTAAAAATCTGAAAACGATGAAACTTAGTACTATGTTAAATGACTCATTTAAAGCACTCGCTTTGTATTTTTACTAATCTAACTGCATACTTCAGTAAGTTTTACTGGTACAGGTTGGTAGATGAACGAGTATATCTATTAAAAACATGTGAAAAGTTCGATCAAAAGATATTCAGCTTCCGCTTTTCTTCATTGATATTTTATAGACGAATGTAACACTGCATAATTCGATAGGTAATTCCATGCGGGTTCGCATTATCTTACATCTCTCTCATATAACTCGATTTCCCTTTTAACAAATTCGATAAAAGTTCTTTGCGCGATATATATGGATGCGGTACTATATGTACATTTTTTATTGAATGGCGATCTAAAACAATGTAGTTACGCAAAATACTCTTAAATCTAAAGAGATTGAGATAATATAAAAAAAGATAACGTTTTATTATTAAATTCCCCAAAAAATAAATAAAAAAAGACGTTAAGTTTACACACCTTCTTCAACGGACGACATGTATATTCAACAAAAAATCTGTACGATATAACGCAATAAAGAGAAACAGTTTTAAAGCTTCCACATCATACCATCCCCGAGAATAAGTGAAATCATTACCGTGTAAGGTAACATTGATTCTATGGCAAAGCAATATTGCTTGTGTGAAGATTGACATTTACTTGTCATTTATGTGTAATTTTATCTACCTCTGCACACTATATTGAGAAATATATATTCGACTGCAATTTTTAGAATATACACTCATCAGGGCATTGTGTTCATTCGCATGAAACTGATAAAAAAAAATATTTCAATCAATTCTGTTCTAGGGAACGTAAGTATCTCATTTATTTACTAATTACTAGGACTTTTAGACTATGCAGTTCTTTTGTGTGAATTCTACGTTACTTTTTTTGCGAAATATGAAGTGAATCGTGTTTAAAGGTGGAGCATGATGTTATGATAAATATAAAATATCCTTTGTTACACAGGATGACTGTAAATTTTCATGCACTTTTCACTTAGACGAAGCATACGTTTGAATTTCACGCCTAAGGCTGCTCTCTGTCTGTATATACTCTTGTAACATGCAACTTTGGTGATATAAAATCTTTTCCTATGCGATTTATACGCGCGCACATACATATACGTACATTCATGATGACGCGATTCGAAGTAACAGTCGCGCGTGTATCTATTACGCAAATACTTACAAAGACTTTTTTTTTTCCTTTTAACTTCGCCAGAAACACGAAATCTTAAGACAAGATTTGTACTCAATGCATCTTAATCATTCAAGTAACTTAACATAAGAAAAAAGTCATCCTTACAGTTGTAATGTGTCAAACATTGATACAGTGCCCTCACTTTAGTAAAAGCTATGGTCTAAAAATTAATAATAAAGAGGAATGTGACTATCCTTCAAAGTTGGCCATACCAACGTCAATCATCTCGCGTTATGACGTCAAAAGCGAGGATAGAACTGCACAAGCGTAATTCTTGTAGCAATTTATAATCGATACAACTTGCTTTCCGCACTGGTAAAGCTTAACTTTAGCTCTCTCGATAGATCGGATTTCCAAAATATTAAAGAAATTCTGTTATCGACTACTACGTCGTATATAAAAACATATGGAATGATCTTGAAAGTCATGCCTGAATAGCCCCTAGACTATGATTTCTATTAATAATTGCCGTAATAATCACTCCATATTTGTATGTGTAAGTTGTTGGATGGAAAACGTAATTTTCACGTTTTAGAAACCTGTTCTAACGAATTAATTACGAGCGAGTTCTTACTGACGGGAAATCACTGATTTCAAGCGTAACTAATGCGTAGGTTCCTCGCAATTTTTTTACTCGCCGAGTCATAATCTGAAATGGTTCACGTAAGTATCGCCGAAGAATTCTAAAATATTATTTAATACTAGAGCAGAATAATATTAACGTTACGTGTCAGCGGGATTTCTATCTAATTGTAAAAAATATTAGTGAGGTATCACAAAATCAGTCTCTATAATCAGATATCTCGATAGAGAAATATATATATAGCGGTCTAAATACGTCAATATAAAATGTCACAGAATTCGTCTTTGTATAAAGAACTCATCAATCTCGTCGACTAGACACAATAAATAAAATATAATAAAACAAAATTATCCCACGTCTCGTATTGTCAAATTAAAATGGGATATTTTTATGATAACTAAAATAAAAACTGCACATACATACTAAAATATATGATTTGGCTAAGATTCTTATACGTTAAAATGCAGTAAAAGTAAATTACATAAGAGTAAATGCCTTTATTGCCAAACAGCAATAATTGCGCACAATAAAGTGGGCAGAATACTCAGCAATTCAGTTTTATCTGCTGCTATATATTTCCTGGCTAATACTTAAATTAGAGCTACCAAAGAAAAGCGTGGGAGATGACGTACATTAGTTATACATAATATATGAAACTATCTGTAGCTAATCCTGTAAAACCGTGAGTTGCCCGAAATGTTCAGTATATTGGTATATATTCAGAGGGAGTATATTAGTTTCAATAGATAGTGTAATAACCACTAATTGTGTGTCTTATCTAAAATTAAAATAAAATACCCTATTTTCTCCTTCAACTCTATGATAATCCGTGTATGTTGAAACCTTTTACTGTGATTATCTCTATTAAGTCTATATATACTTTCGCTATAACAGTTCCCCAGAAATATAACTTTTACCAGTGTGTAAATGAGATCGCTAAAGTATTTAGAGTTTCGTATACCTTTACCTTCCAAAGCGTACTTCATTCGCATTATTTACAGTTGTGTGGCATTAAAACGCAACTTCGCAAAATAACATACGCTTAAAACGAAATAAATGATCTGTCAGAAGTACCTCTTGGTTGTACGCTTAAAACGAAAAAAATGATCTGTCAGAAGTACTTCTTGGTTGTGCGAAAATATACTATAATTGTAATGAAACATAACTCAGAAAAGCTATGTCCGCACACAGATTTCTAATTTCATCATAGCTGAATAGATACACGTGTTGTATTAATCATGTTGACGTAGTTGGAAAAAAGTGTATTTAACTATACTGATAACTTGGAAGTAATTCGAATGATAATAGAGCGAGTTTCTTCTATATCATACGTTCAGAGATTTCGACCGATCGCCATCAAGTTACGAGACTTAGTGTGCATCATAGTAAATAGCTATTTACCAAATTCGTTTCTAGTAAATAGAAATTGACGACTTCTTCAGGATCATAAGCAACAATCGCACTGTAATGAACAAATACAAACGGTAAACATAATTTCTTTATTACAATTAAACCTTTGCGGTCCGACTTTATCAAAAACATTATTCATATTAAGAATTTTTGAATTTGCAATAGTATTATTTATATAATACTCAAATAATATGATACAACGTTAATGCTTAATAGATGTGCGTTGCGTGCGTTTTGTCTAATATATTTACAAAAAAAAAAAGTAAACGTATAATTTATTTACAGCAAATCCCATCTTATTGGTCTGGTGTGATTATAACGAGCATACGTATGTGAAAATTTAAATCATGTATATATATTTTTATTTTTATTTTAATCTAACAAGATATATTTATGTACTAGAAAACTAGAAAAATCGGACCACAAAAAGTTGAAACACGTAAGAGAATTATGTATGTTACACTCACCCACTATTATTCACACTCTTTATTATTCTCGTTCCTCTACATATAAACTCTGTAAATAAAATAAAAGATAAGTAACGAATTTTACATATGATTATTAAAGTATGCATGTCATGTGATTTGTAAGTAAACACAACTTGATCTATTCAAAAATCTCAATAGAAATGAATCAATAGAAATAACTGTTTGCTTACATGAGACTTTCCTCCGTCAGTCTCAATTATCTTCGAGCAGATCTTCGATTCAGACTTTACATAATAATTATACTAATGACAAGATAATATCACTGTGAAGTTACGCTGTGTATATTATGTTTTAAACACCATAAAATAATATCTCTGCACATCAATCGAATATTATTTTTTATAGAAAATGTAACATTGGACGTTAACTTTTTACTTTTCATGTGAAACTTCTTCTCCGATTGCAACATCAAGATAAAATAGCAAAAATATTCCATATATACTTTATATTTATATATAGCACACAATATATATATATATATATATATTATATATTTCCTTAATATCACATAACCAGTCTTATATTCAATTCAATCTTCAATATATATTATGATTGTACTATATAATGTTGCACAATTTTCCCTTAGCTTGATTTGTGAAATATATTAAATATGTATCAAAATATTTTAAAACGTTTCTCAAAATTATATACGGTATGATTTGCACAATCTTCAGTGATGTTACGTCTTCAAGTGTATGTTCTCTTCCGTGATACGCATATATAGCAATTCTTAAATATAATATGAAAATACAGATTTTAGATGTTACGTTACCTTTCATCGTAGGAAGTAAAAAAGCTCTTTTTGAACACCATGATGGTTCAGAGAGTAAACAACTCTGTTGGCTTCTAGAAGAAGCAAAACTATAGACGTGATCCTTTTTCTTCTGAGGTGTATCTTCGATAGGCGATAGTTGAGTACATCTGACAGTTTATTCCTTAATGATATTTATTAGCTTATGGTCTATGGTTTCAGTTAATCTTATCGTGATTTAGGCTTATTTAGATTCCCATTAAGATCGTTCAAAGAGAGTAAGTATATATCTTATACTTGGGTGATGTTCAAGCAGAGTATATCTTCTTTATGATATTAAGCTTGTTGGCAGGTCTGAATGAGAGTACATTTGGAGAAGTATAAAATTCCTTAGAAAATCGACTTGAAGCCCATCTCTCGAGATTTTTTTAGATGGTCTCTCTCGCAAACATTAAAATGCTTTGTCGAAATTACTGCTATACAAATCATTTCTTCCTGGGTGTATTTTTAATAGAGTGGTCATATTTCATAGCTCGTTTGTCAGTGATATTCGCAGACCTACAGGTCGGTGCTTCGGAAATTTTAGTCATCCTTTTTTTCTTTTCAGAGGCTTCCCGTCGGGATCATTCAGGGGCAAAAATATATGTATATGTATATATATCCCACATAATACACGATGATGTAGAATCCTTTCTTTGCGATGTTGGATTTAATTTGTTAGCAAATCTGACGGAATATTCTCGGAAGTGCAAAATTCATTCGACGATTGATTCGGTCCATATCTCAGGATATGAAAGCCTTCAATATCATTCTTGCAAACATAAAAAGTCTCGGATTAAGGCATCGTTACTTTTATCTTTTTAACTTATCAGGAAGAGTACCGAAATTGCACGGCTCCTTGAGACCTGGAAGTGCGACATTTGAATTAATTATTTTAGTAGAGGCTCCTGGCACTGTGGCGCGAGATTTATTTCGATTTACTGACGTAGATTTATCGAACTTCGCTGGTAATCACAAAAAGGTGTAGTCGATATTGAATTGGAAGGCCACCGGGGTCTCTATGCTACTATCAATAGTATCGTTTTGATTATTGCGCAGAACGTCGTTCTCGTTTAAAAATATATGTATCTGCGTATATAGTGTATGTGATGAGAAAGTATTTGTCGTGTCAGTCACAAGATTCTTGACCCTGGCTCCGGTAAGCTGGGTGTCCAATATTAGCGCGGCATTTATAAGATTTGCCGACGATCTTGAGCTGGAGAACTCCCGAGAGAAGCCGCAGACAATGCTGCAGCGAGAACTGGACCTTTATATCTTTTTTATTTTCTTTTTTTCTTTTTTTTTTTCTTTTTATCACTTCCTCTGCATCTTTATTGCGTTCGGGGTTGCGCAAGGATGGCCGAAGCGGAGACGAGGATTCAGGCAGTTCAGGAGCGGCTGTGGGCGAGAAAGATAGAAAGAGAAGAAGCGCGAAGGCTCTCGCTTCCTGTATATGATGCGGATCCATTGCTGCCATGAATTTTGCCGATACAGCGCGGTGAGGTTATCGAATTGCCAGCGAGACGCGAGATTAATTACGTCGAGTCCTGGTCGCGAGAGAAGGCAGAGAAGCCACGAGAGTTTAGCCAACGCGCGCTTGAGCACCGTAATCGAGCACCGTACACTCTCAAACATCGAAAATCGAAGATTATACCAAGCACCAAGAGCAACTTGGTTGGTACCAAGAAGTGCCTGGCGCCCAGGATACCTTTTCGAATTGCTTGGGTGAAGTGGCTTTCCGATCGCCTTCCGTGAAGAAGAACTCGTGTTGCGCAGGCGGTTGGAGTTCTTGTTCCTGCTTGAAGGCAGGAACGTCCGACAATACGTTGCAATACACATTGTCGAAGTCGAACGGAGACTGCTTTAAGGACAGGAAGTCGGCGATGTCGTCCGAGAAAAGATTTTCTTTTAGATCCTTCGACTCGCCGCTTGAACCGTCGCAATTCATTTGCGACATCAGCGAAGGTTGACGGAGAACATCGTCCAAAGTCTCCTCCAGACTCTCGATGTTGTGCAGGAAACTAATGTTTTCCAATCCATCTATACAGTCAGTCTTCATGATCTCGTTAGCTTCCTTCGAGTCAATGTCGAAAGAATTCATGTCGAATGTACAAGACTCGGAGGAATGTAACCGGTCGCTCGACATCGAGGTGTCGCAATTACCACCACCACCACCTCCTTGTTCCTTCATCATAGCCTCGGAATATTTAGGATCATTTCCGTAGTCGCTCAGTCTCATAGTCTCAAAATTAACATGCTGACCGTCCAATAACGAACCCACTATTTGATCTTCGATGAACGTAGTCGAGACGGTGCACATGTCGTTGGGATTGTCTAGACATTGCACTCGTTTGTCGGCATCCATCGCCGCGACAGACTCGCCGGTTTGATTCGCGGTGTAAACGCATTTATTACGATCGTTCAACATGTAGATTGTATTCGCGTCGCGGGTGGATTTAACATCGTTCTCGTTGCCGTCGAACATATTATGCAAGGTGTCGTGTGTCTTCATGGCGATAACGTCGTTATCGGTACACACGAGCGGCTTCTTCGTCGACATGCCGCTTGCATTATCGTAATTAATGAGCGACATCGTGGAGGATTGGCGGAAAAAGTCTTCGAGACTCTCGCTCTGAATGTTGTTCAGAAAGCTGATGTTCTCCGCATCGTCGATGCAATCGAGCGTCTTCGTTATCTCGTTGATGTCCTCCGCCTTTAGCGAGTTCTTCAGCTGCGTCTCGTAATCGATCTCTGCGTTTGAGCCGACCTCGAAAGAATTTATGTCGAACATGCAAAACTCCGAGGAATGCATCTGATCATTCGGTATCGAGGTGTCGCAGTTGTTCCTTCTTTGTTGCTCCTTCATCGTGATTTCAGAATACTTCACGGCGTTCCCGTAATCACTCGTTCTCGCGTTATCAAGACCGACGTGTTGGCTGTACAACGGTGTCTCGACAATTTTGTCGCCGACAAATGTAGTCGAAACGGTGTGCATGTCATTGGATTTTTCCAGACACTGCACTCCCTTCTCAGTGTGCGCAGCTACGGCTCGTTCACCGATATGATTTACTACGTAAATTCGTTTGTCGCGTTCGTTCAACATGTAAATTATATTCGTGTTGCAGGCCGATTTCGCGTCGTTCCCGTTCTGACTGAATGTATTATGCGGGAGGTCTTGCGCCTTCGTCGCGAGCACGTCGTTGCTGGTAAACACAAACGGCTTGCAATCAATTTTGGTGCAACAGTTTGGGCACTCGTTGACCCGATGGCATACTTTTTGTTTTATAATCTCTGTGATTTGCGAGCTGTGGTCATTTATGGACTTTAGTTTCTTTATTATCAAGTGCTTAATGTCGTTCATGTCGATCGGCACTGAATTGCAACACTTGTGCGACTTCTGGATTGCGCTACAATTCGTGCTCGTCGGTAACTCCTGCTTGAAAGAATGCTGATCCACGATATTGCTTTGGCACGTTCTGAATAAAGGCATCGTCTCCATGGCACTGTCTTCCTGAGAAGTTAACGCTTCCTTGCCCTGCATTATCGAATTGCTGTACGAATCAATTGCATTTCCAGCCGCATACGTCACGTGCGGCAGCGCATGATTCTCCATTTTATTTTCCCGCGATAAGTCTGCCGTAACTTTGAACTCCTTGATATTTTGATCGACGAGTTTCAGCGTCTTCGAGCTATGCGAGTTGTAATCATGCTGCATTTCGTCCTCCTTCACAAATTCCGGACAAATATTGCTCATCGGACTCTTTGCTACGTTTGTGTGTTCATTTTTCTGCAGATTAACGCAGTTGGTGTCGTTTGATGAAGATTTGCTGTTCATTGAAACGCAATTTTCCGTACCATCATTAACTTTGTTGTCAGAGATAGGCTTGCACTCCAAACGAACTTTGTCGTCGGAGCTTTTGCTGATGTTGTTAGAGCATGCTTGAGTATCGGCATCCATAAGCCGGCTGGAATCTTTCGGCGTATTGATATGCTTTTGCAACTTATGCTTCTTCTTCATGATCTTCAAATAGCCTAATTTTTGTTTAGTCTTCTTTCTTTTTACTTTGTAAGGGACACTTATCTCATCGTCTCCGGTCAAATCGATAATTATAGTTTTCCTGGGTTTTTTCCTCATTTTTTTTAGTGGTTTGAGACTTTTTGTTCCCTTCTTTTGCAAATAAGTTTGATCCATAGACTTATTTCCATCAATGCCTGGTATTGGATTACGGTTTGGCAAAACACCCGAGTGATCTTTATTTACCTCGTGATTAGACGCATCCCCATTCGAATTGCTTCGATGAGGTAACGGATTTACCTGGTTTTTCTGAAAAAGTGTCATTGAACAAATATAACAATTTGCATGCGCGAATAATTCGCAGCGAAACACTACAAACAAGGAAATTAAATCAAAATAGAAAGAAATTTACCTGAGGCTCTGAACAACTCTGATCAGCATGAATTGTTTTGATACATTGCGAGTTCGTAGGGTTATCCATTTCATCTTCAAATTGCAGAAAATATTTATGACTCTGCTTTAAATCGAATAGATTTGATTGCAATAACCATAATGTTTCATTTTCTTGATTTACGGGCGGTCTCGGAACGAATTTTAATAATTCATCTCGCAACTTCGGCATGCGCAACCCTAACAGCATTAAAGCTAACTTGTTAATTCTTCCTTTCCTGTCGTAATCTTCTGCCATTTTCTTCCACATTTTGAAGGCGAGTAGATATCTGACATAAGCTATATCAGTCATAGATGTCATCTTTGTTGTGAGATTAGTGAAACTCTTCCTGCATAATGAAATATATATGACATTTTGTATTGCTCCAGTAATACCTATTGCGACATTTGTTCTAACGCACAGAAAATCTTTACATACATGAACAGATGATCGCAAATTTTCGCGTATCTTTCCGTAGCGTGCTGAATTCTAAGTAATACCCTGAAAATATGCTCTTCCGAGTTATCTGTAAACAATTTAACATCGAATGTATAATAACCATCGTAGTTATCACCACAGTTTGTATCTGCGAGATCAGTTTCGTCAACACTTACTTAAGTATATGTACAGTGCTGCAAGAATTTTTGCAGCAATCTTAGAGGAATCTTTAACATAACCGGAACATCTTTTATCTGTCGAGGTTTTTAATTCTATATCTATATACACATTTAACAAAGCGGACATTCTATTCAAATACGAATTATGATCAGTTATATCCTAAAGATAAAAAAACTTTGTTAATATTACGTTATACACATCTTTCACGTCTGACTCTATGGAACAGCGAAAGGTAACTGAAAATATTGATACCTGTTTTATATCGAGCCAGTACCAGTGAAAGAATATTAACATGTTATTAATATGACTCTTAAGATTAATTACGTCACCAGACTTGACATTGCTCAATGCCATACTAGAAGTAATATGCCTGAAATATGCAATGGCAAACATTATACATCTTTTAACTACTAACTTTTAACTACAAACACAATTGTCAACTACTTCTGTAGGTGTACACATACAGAGCTTTTACTTGTAAAAGAACATAATTTTCTCTCATATAGAAATATATTTAATATTCAATTGTTAAATCTTGCTTAATAGGAAAATATATAAATAATATTACCCCGTACATTTTATATGTATGGTTCAGGTTATTAGAAGATCCGAGATTAAGATGAACTTACTGTGTGTAGAGTAAAAGCGACCGTTCAAGATGTCGATAATTTCTACTTCCTATGGACGAATGTATAACTTTACTGAATTTAGGTAACCATGGAAAGTTGTCTTTGACTGTGTTATTATCATTTACTGTAGTATCTTCCAGCTGTTGAGTTTTTAAACGCTCCTTTCTACCTTTACTATTCTCACACATAGAAGTTGTATCCATAATGATATCTTCTTCTGTAGTTTCCTTATGGTATAAATTCTCTGTAATTATTATTTGTGTCAATATAATATCAAACTGTCATTATTAACTGTTTAAAAGATATATTACTTGACAAATCCTTATTTTGCAATGGCTCAAACAGTGTAAGAAAACTCGTGATGCGTGTATCTTGCTTAGGTCGTGTCATACCTATTATTACAGTGAATTCTAAAAATAAATTTTTGTTTACAATTTTTTAAGAAATCTGTAGCACTAATGGCACAATGATTAAAGAACTGATATTAATATTTAACATCTTCAATTTGTATTTTGTTTCTGAACATTAGATTTAATTCCCTGTGTAAATATCTCATTTCATTCGATATCAATAGAAAAAAATAATATACATATATAACTACCATTACAATTACAATATAATATAAATACCAAAAGTAATCCATCGCTAACTTCTTCCTCTTGTGTGCACAAAAATGAATTTGCTGGATAACAATCCAAAGATAATTAAATATCGCTTGCTAGCATGCATGAACAATTAATTTCCGAATAGCTGATTGATATAATTAGTTAATAGTAAATAAATATATATATATAAATAATATATATAAAATATGCGAATCAAATGCATGAGGTACTCTAAAGTAGTTTTATCTCGTAATTTCGTTATACAAATTCATCAAACATAAAATAAATTATTAAGAAACTCATATTACTGAAACCAAAATGATAAATAAGTAGCATCAAATATTGAATGACAGCACGATGTGCTCTTACAAAAAGAACATGCGGGACGCTCCCACGACGAGAGTGGGAGGGGGATAGATAGACAGAGAGAGAGAGAAAGAGGGAGGGGGATAGAGAGAAAGAGGGAGGGGGTAGAGAGAGAGAGAGAGACAGAGATAAAAAGAGACAAAGAGGGAGACAGATATACAGACAGACGGACAGATATATAGACAGACAGACACAAGCAACAGCAAGGAAACAGTTTCGATCATGATCGAGGGAGACAAACGGTTATCTTACAGTGTTTATCGTCCTAACGACAATCTGCCGTGCGTGCTGTCGCGCGTTCTTCGCATGTCGACACCCTCGTTCTTCGCGTGTCGCAACTCCTGTACAACTAGCCGCTAACGTGTGGGAGATCTCTCTTCTGCAGCGAGAGCGAGTTCTCTCTTCCGAGTTGCATCAGGATCGCGAAGTGCCCCCGCCACTCACCTTCGTGTCTACTCGTGGCTATCGCGCGCACCGATCGGCGGGGCTAAATCGGGATCCCGTAGAGCCGCCACGGCATCCTCGCGACTCCGCGATTATTAGACACGCATATACCGAACGCGTTTTTTCACGCTCGCTGCGCCGCGTCGTTCATCGTCGAACATCGCGTCACGTCGTGCCGCGCCACCTGCCGTCCGAAGTCGGCAACGCGCTTCACGTCGCTCGCTCCGCTTTGCACGCACGAAGCTTCCTCATCGCTTCGGTGGCGGTTGCGCTGCGCGCGCGGCGGAACGCGACGCTTCGCGTCGTGTCTGCCGCGACGTCGCCGTGACCGTAGGCCGTCGTTAGAGCTTGCGCAAAACGACCCTTCTTCTGCCAGGTATGTACTAATGTTCGACTAGCTCGTTTTACAACAGTGCGCAGGATTCTCGCGTGGAAGAGGTGCAAACGCTCTCACGGAAACATGCATTTTATTTTCTCTTAGGAGGTGCACGACGACTGTCCGGGCACCTCGTCGGAGAAGTCGCGTAGTGACACCGACGACACACGGTGATGCGCGTTCTCTTGGTCACACTTGGTCCAACGCCCAATTGCCCGTGTCTCAAGAAGCGAGCTCCGTTGCCTTCGTGAGAACACTGAACCGCGGGAGAAGACTGGAACAAGCAGCGAGAGTCGCTTTTGCTCCATTCGAATGTCGAACTTAACGATGGAACGGAGAAACGAAGTCGACAGTTTCCCCGCGACATATCGGCCGGACCTCGAAGGTTTATCCGAGATGTCCGAGACGTTCTTGTTGAATTCCCGCTGAAATCGCAAGTAAGTATATATCGAGAGTGGGGATTCGGGCTGCGTAACTGCGTTACAGCATTTTCTTCACGCTTCTAATTTGACAACGAAACCGTACGACATCCCCGCGCTCATCATCGTTGTCATCATTATTGTCACTACCACCACCACCACCACCACCACCACCACCACTACCATCATCATCATCATCATCATCATCATCGTCATCATCATTATCATCATCATCATCATCATCATCATCATCATCATCATCATCATCATCATCACAACCACCACCACTACCATCACCATCACCATCACCACCACCACCACTACCACCTCTCAGTTAATACGCACCTGATCGTGACCGGGGTTCTCCCACCATCGACTGCTCGGCGCTGCACGGCGTCGCGCGAGCTCCTCAGCTAGGTTGCCCGGCAGCGGCCGAGCACGTATGTGACATGGCGTCCGGGTAGAAAGAAAGTTAACTGCTAAATAAGCGTTAATGTTGTTTTCATGACATTGACCGAGCGAAAAGGGAACATCCGAGGCCGCGAATTTCCCACAGACACTGGCATTGATGGTAATGCATGGGAGGAAACCGCAAAGGATCAGCGATGGGTAGGGCTCTGCCATCAAATACCCGATCCTGACACACGACCAACCTCTCTCGCTCTCTTTCTCTCTCCGTCTTCCTCGCTCTATCTTCCTCCCTCTCTCTCTCTCTCTCATCCCATCTCGCTCTCTCCTGCTTTCCGCATCAACTCGCTTCGCCTCGTCTCGTCACTCGACGTCCGTCCATTCGTCCGTACGACCCGCTCGACCGCACACACGCATCGCTACACTGCCACTCTACCGCTCCGCGGCGCGACGAACTTCCACGATGGGTATCCGTTCGGGTGCAGTTCCTCGTGGAAACGATCGCGACGGCGGACAACGCGCGACGACTTCCTTCACTCACGACCCGTTGTCTTATGATTCCAGGTACTACGAAAAGCATCAGGCCCATCCCTATCAGGTAAATAATAGCCGCCGTCGACGAAGCGATTGCTGTCCGTGAGCAAGGAGGGGGAGGGGGGGTGTAAGACTGTCGCATCCATAGGCAACATCACGTCGTCCTGATCGCGCACGTCGTACCTCCGTAACTATCTCGCGCGTTATTTCGCGGCCGCGCGATTTACGCGCCGTCATCCTCGTCCTTGTCATGATCGCCGCCTCTGCCGTCGCGTGTGTGTGTAACTCGTACGAAGACGGGAAGATGAGATCGTCCTGGTTTTCGCGTGCGGAATGCCACAACGGAGCTCGTGCGGCGGCGGTATTCTGTGTAGCATTCCATAGTTTGTAGCGTTCATTTTTCGGCCGTTTGTCGTCAGGCTCGCGTTTAATACAGGCAAAGAGAGAGAGAGAGAGAGAGAGAGAGAAAGAGAGAAACGAAGTCTCGCTGTCATATCCCCGCGAGAGAAACGCGGGGGTCAAACGCGAGTAGAATCGATAACGTACTTGCCGTTGCCAATTGCCCGACCACGACGATATCTCGCTCTTTACTTTAATGTAACGTTCTCCCATTAGCACTCCGGATGATCGTTCGTGTTCGCTTATATGCTGCTTATTTTTATCGTTCACGTTCCCATGAGACCTCGTTTCGTAAAGACTGCCGTGTAATTATTCCATGTCTTCGTCGCGCAATCTCGCTTCCTCGCGACCGAGTTTGAATTCTGCCTTGGTACGTACGTCTCTCGCTCCCGAGGTAAATTCTCACTCTCTCTCTTTTTTTCTCTCTCGATTGATCATTCTTCACCAGGACGGAGCGTCGTCGTTGTCTCGTTACCAAGAGCAGTATATACGCGATTAGCTTAATCGTTGACAATTTGGTGCATATTGAACGTATAAGACTCGGTTCGCGGGCATTAAGGATGCGTTCGATGGGCTTGGTAAGCAAAAGGAACTCGGATTTGACAAGTGATGCTTTGGCAAACATTGTTTTGTCGTCGGGTACATGTTCGTACCATCGAACTTATTGTCGCGATATTAACAATTATATTGAGGTACTTCTCCGGTAAATTCGTGCTGTGTAATTATAGTCTCGGGATTTTATCCAGAGTCTTCCTTGAGCATGATATTGTCCTTGAGCATATATCATTCATATTGGGCAAAATTGATAATTATGCATGCATAATTTCATTTCGGCTCCTCAACTTGATTCACACCGTACGAGGGACCTTAATTAATTGGAATATCGTCGATTTTTCATGCCAACGTGGAATAACTTCCTACTTGTCTTGTAAACATAACCTCACTTTCCGAAAAATCAATAATTTATTCTAGCAAGTAAAAAGCCAGAAATGTCCAAGTGCCATTTCCTTGATAACCTCGTTTCAGTTATTTTTTTTGTTTTGTTAAACTGTTCCAAGGTTTTCATCAATATTCAACTTGAAATTACAATGAAAGTTATAATCCTGAAGTCATAACAATTTCTTTGTGTTTGGGAGAATCTCTGCTTCTCTCAATCTTTCGAAGGTAAATATTGTAAGATTTTGGTTTTTAGGAGGCACAATATCGTCATGTGTGCCTTAATGTTTTTGTTTATTACTATTATCAAAGTACAAGTATTCTTCAGTGTTCCCAGGATAATTTCCAGTATAGATTGATATAAGTACACTTTACTGGAATTTACTACAATTTTCAATCTTGCAACTTGTATATAAGGTTGAGAATTACACGCAAGTAATATTAATTGCAATATTAAGGCAATGTAATGTTTGATGTACATATTTAATAACATTTCTCTCAACAACTTTATATTAAAAGGCATTGTGCTTTCCTTATATCCTTGGTAACACATCTATGATATTATTTGTCTATGCAACCTCTTGTTTATCTAGTTAATGGATAATCTGATTGCAGAACGCAAAGTACAGCAGTTCTAAGGGTGGCTACTCTTCCTCGACCACATCATCAGACAGTCGCTACGAAGGACGTATGCGCGATTCTCCAAATGGTAACTCTTACAGTCCAGCCTGCAGCTTGGGAATGGGCATGGGGACGGACCGGGACAGCCCACGGAATTATACATCCAAGCCTCTTTACAAGAAGGAGAGAGAAAATAGAGACTATAAATTATCCTCCTCTAGGGACAAGTATTCCGGTAAACAAGTTTACATTACCTGTCTTCTTTGACATTTTTATAGAAACGGCTTCTTGACACTGTAAAATAATGCACAATATATGTTTGTAAATATTATCGAATCTATAAACAATTTGTAAAATATGCCAATGTTGTACAGATAGATGTGATCATATAAAGCAAAATTTTCCTTTCTTTTGTCTAGAGTTGTAGCTTTTCTTCTTTTCAGTATAAAAACAGAATTGTCTCTTAACATTTTCAGCTGTAACATGCTTGCTTGCATATGTCTAGATTGTGCACGATCCCCAAAAGACAAGAGAAGCCGCGAGAGCAGAGATTCAGAACACAGGACCAACCACGATAGGAGTAGTGGAGACGTGAGTATTCGTTCGATATTCATGTATATCTTAATTATGATTGTGTGTAATTGAATTTATAATAATTAAAAATGTTAAAATTATTTAGAATTGCTTCAGAATCAAAGAGAATAGAAGCAATTAAATGCAATTAAATGATTTACGTGTGTACATTATGGGAATATCTTCTTCGTAATATTTGTGTTTATTTCACATATATAATACATATGAATTAAAATCATAGATAATATATTATGTTCCAACTTGTAACGCAGAATGTATGGAGTTAGTGATTCTCACATGATATAACTCTTTTACTTGAAGAAAATTTCTGACACATGATTGATTATGAATGTATGACATATATAATTATTTTTTGGCATGCTTATACATCTTTGTATATCTGTACATTCATAATCTTTAATAAATGACTTCATTTTTATCAAAGATACTATTTATATATAAATGGACTGCTTGGATAATTTGTATATGGTCACAGTCCTAAAATGACAACAATACTTATAGACCTATTTATAAACTTTAAAAAATATATGTTTGGTGCATAATATGAAAGTATTGCATGCCTTTATCAGGTTAGATACATTTCCTTAGATATTTGTGTTATCGTCAAAATAATACTATTTGTTCATGTTCCTTTAGATCTTACATCCCATAAAATTATCATCAAATTCATCGAGAGAATCTTCATCTCAGAGAAAACCAGCACACAATTCCTGTCAGGTCAGTATACTATGATTTGTCCATACTGGTGTATTAGTCATAAATTCCAAATATTTTGGATTTATACAGTGGACAAGACAATGTATCTAATCTATTGTATAAATAACATCTCAGTATGGTATATTTATGTATCATAA